CACCAAATATTAATATAAATAACCCTATTAAATAAGAGAAACAATGTAGAGTGAACAGCTAACTCATCACAGTTACCACACTTGCTCCTCACAGTAGCCCTGTGAGGTGGGAATTATCTTTCTTTATTACCCAATCTCAAGTAGCTGGTAGAGGGCAGAGCTGCACTCAAATGTCTTCTGAATAGAAGGATGTTTGACCTCATGCCTTGTCATCAGTGAGGAATTTAGACTTGATAATGAGTGACCAGTCTACCAGATCAAAGAGCCATGGCCCCACCTCACAGTGGACACAATGATCAGTGCTCTGGGCCACACTTCCAACGAATCTTGAGAATTCGTGCTTGACAAAAGGACAGTTGATGGAATTCTCAGCACTGGCTGAGATCTTTCTGCTGCAGGGAATTAGTGAGTCCTCACCAAAACCTGTTTGATTTCGCTGGATTTTCTCCAAAGGATGGCTATCATTGCTAAGAAGCTTTTCCAGCTTTAAGGCAACATGAATCACTTTTTCAAGCACTCTGTTTCCACCCAGAGTTGGCATTTCATGGAATTTGGGCCACTTGACATAATCAGCAGCTTTCTCCTCCCTCCTTCTTTCAGGGTCAGCCAGGAGTAATTTGGATCCCTTCTGTCTGCTCACATTTTCTCCACCATGGGGAATTAATAACCACTTCACTGCACAGCTGCTAGAGGCTGGAATAATTAATTAAAATTTAAAATTAAACCATTTACAACCCTTTGCATCTGAAACTATAGGAGTGGGTAACCTCTTCAAGGCATTTCAACTGATTATCAAAGGAAAGAAAACTTTTTTTTTCAAGAGTTGCATTAGCAACATAAAGTGCATTTCCTAAGTCTATATATGAGGAATAACACCATAAAACCCAGAGCATCAAAAAGGATTCATGTAAGAAGACTAAGAGCCAGGACACCAAATTAAAAACACTGATGAATAAAGACAACTCAAGATGATGGCCCATCCATCTTCCCCTTTTATCTGGAGTGCTGCAATAAATGATGGGCAGAAACATGTATTTTTATGCTTTGATCTTATGAGCCTTCAAATAAGAGGTAAGCAAGCTAACAGCATGTGTTATGAATACTTGGCTAGACAAATATCTTACTTTTGATTACGTGAGAAAACTGAAGAGGTTAAGTGAGTTTTTTCAAGTTCACACAGCGAATGATTCTTTTCTTTCTTTCTTTTTTTTTTTCCAATCAGTTTGAGCTTATAAGGTTGCTCAGGTTAGCCTTGAACTCATGACCTGGCCTTCGCAAGCGCCACGACCTCCGGCGGGAGCCACTTTGGACCCTGATTCTTTTCTAAAACAACTACTTTGGAAGAACCCAGATTCACTTTCAACAGCAGTATTTTCCGTTCCTACTGACTCTCTGATGGCCCTGGGAGACACTGCTATTGGAACATGCTTTCAGATTCCAGGCACACGGGTAACCATGGACTTTGATAATCCATGAAGATCATAGAGATTCTTAAGTTTCTGAGGTTTGGGAGAGAAAATGAACATTCACTGATGCCATGCCCTGTGCCTGGTCTTGTGGCTTCTTTGTAAAAATACTCTCATTGAATTTTCATAATTTTCCTGTGCAATAGGCACTCTCATTTAGCAGACAAAGAGTGATTCTAGGGAGTTGTACAACTTCATTCTCATGCTGCTGATAGAGACATACTCAAGACTGGGCAGTTTACAAAAGAAAGAGTGGTTTAATGGACTCACAGTTCCACATGGCTGGGAGGTCTTACAATTGTGATAGAAGGCAAGGAGGATCAAGTTACCTCTTTCATGGATGGCAACAGACAAAGAGAGAGCTTGTGTTGGGAAATTCCCCCTTCTAAAACCATCAGATCTTATGAGACTTACTCACTATCAGGAGAACAGCATGGGAAAGACCTCACCCATGATTCAGTTACCTTCCACCAGGTCCCTCCTACAACATGTGGGAATTCAAGATGAGATTTGGGTGGGAACACAGCCAAACCGCATCAGGAATTAAGTCACAGATCGGAGACTTTGAAATGCCTCCATTCAGCCATGTTGTTGAGACATCCAGGAGGGTAGGATCTCTTTTTTTACATTGGTGTGAGGCGAGTGCACAGTCAAAAACGGGGTCTTTAATATAAATATGTCGGTCAACTTTGTCCCATGTGGAGGTTCACAGCTGATGGCAGGTGAAGCCAGCGGAATGGGGCAAAAAGTACCAATTCTGACCAATCAACTGGAGGCTTTGGCACATCACTGCCACTGCTCTGATTCCAGGCTTTGCAAGTTCAGGAAATGAGAGAGAAAGCAATAAGCCCAGTCCTTCTGAAAGTTTAACATCACAAATAAACACACACACAGAGAAAAAATATCAGTGAATCAATCAGCAAAGTCTAAAGGCTACAGAGAATACAAAAATTCCATTCAATACATGTACAGTTCTGATGGCAAACAATGGGATGGGGGTAGACTGTAAAGAAGAAGAAAGATAACAGGTTTTTCCCGAGGGGGAGGAAAAGGGGGTTAATAACTGTTGTACATCTTCCAACTGCCAAGGCATTCTACCAGTATGCATATATTTCACTCAATCCTCACGTAACTGGTATCAGGTGTTCTATAAATTTAGTGTGTAAATACGGCGATATTTATTTCATCTTTTGAAGTAATCTTTTTAGTTCTTCATCTACAAGATTGGCCAGAAATCTAACAACCCTCTCTTAGGTCTCTTCATCAATTTTACTTGAAAGACTTGAGGTTCTAGACGTTCTAGACTTGGGTGCAGTGTCTCATGCTTCTAACAACAGCACTTTCAGAGGCTGAGGTGGGAGGATGGCTTGAGAAGTTTGAGACCAGCCTGTGTAACATAGCAAGACCCCATCTCTATTTTTAAAAGAATGTTTTTAAATAGAAAAACGAACTGGGGTTTTACGAATATACCTCTGACAGAGCAGTGGGAGGGTCACTGTAGGGTCATTGTACAACTTCCACACTCAAACAAGAAAAGCAATGGCAAGAAACTGTCTGAGACCACCATTGTTTCTTCCTACTTTATTATTTTTATAAACAAATTTATTGAGCTCTGTTTTACATATTATGAAAAGTACCCATTTCAACTGTATGCTTCATAATTTTTGGTGACTTTACCAAGTGATACAACCACCATCATAAATCAATTTTAGAACATTTTCTATTTTTCTTTTTTCTTCCCTCCCTCCCTTCCTTCCTAGACAAAGTTTCTCTTTTATCACCCAGGCTGGAGTGCAATAGGCACAATCTCGGCTCACTGCAACCTCCGCCTCCTGGGTTTAAGCGATTCTCCTGCCTCAGCCTCCCAAGTAACTGGGATTACAGGTGTACATCACCAGGCCCAGCTAATTTTTGTATTTTTTTTGAAATTTTGAAAGAGTTTATTGAATCTATACATCACTTTGGATAACATGGCACTTTAACATTGTTTATTCCTTAAATGCAAAGATATAAAATATTTTTAAATTTCTTTTCTAATTTCTTTTAATTTTACTTTAAGTTCTGGGGTACATGTGCAGATCGTGCAGGACTGTTACATAGGTATACACATGCCATGGTGGTTTGCTGCCTCCATCCCCGTCACCTACATTAGGTATTTCTCCTAATGTTATCCCTCCCCAATCGCCCCAACCTCTGCTATCTCTCTCCTAAACCCCCAACTCCCAATAGACCGAAATGTGTGATGTTCCCCTCCCTGTGTCCATGTGTTCTCGTTGTTCAACACCCACTTATGAGTGAGAACATGCAGTGTTTGATTTTCTGTTCCTGTGTCAGTTTGTTGAGGATTTTTGTATTTTTAGCAGAGACATGGTTTCACCATGTTGGGCAGGCTTATCTCAAACTCCTGACCTCAGATGATGCACTTGCTTGGACTCCGAGAGTGCGGGGATTACAGGTGTGAGCCACCAAGCCTCTATACATACCCCATACGATCCCTCATCCTCATTTTGAGTCAGTCACTATGCCCACCTCCAGCTCATCAACCACTGATCTATTTTCTATTTCTATCTTTTCCAGACATTTCATATACCTAGAATCATGCAATTTGGTGGTCAGTTTTTCTTTTCTTTTTCACTTTACATAATGTATTTGAGGTTCATTTATGATATCCTGTGTGTCAGTAGTTTCATTTTATTGTTGAAGACTATTCCATGGTAGGGATACAGAACATTTTGTCAACCCCTTTACCACCATCCATACAGACTTACACATGGATATTCATAATAGCACTATTCATAATAACCTCAAGCTGAAAACAACCTGAAGGCTTTTTTTTTAAATTGGTCTACATCTCAAGCCTGGCTACACATGATGATGTTGATTTAATGAGTTTGGGGACAGAGCTCACAACATTTACTTGTTTCCAAAGCTTTCCAGGTGATTCTACAAGCTGGGGAACTGTTCTATAGCATTCAAAAAATTTTTGTCCCTTCTCTCTCACTGATGCTACAGTTCCTATATCACCAGTATAGTTCTTGGATTCCACTGCTTCTGCACTGAGCTTGGCCAAGGTTGCCCAAATGTGAGCTCCACATTATAGCATCTGATTCGGGTGTCAGACTTGGAATATATCCCTGACACCCAATGAACCCCAAAGTCTTCCCCATATCCCTTCTCAGGGTCTGAGGTCAGGGGCCAGTACACTCACTCTCCTAAACCCTCAGAACCCAAGGAAATGGTACCAATTGATCTATTTCACAAGTCAGGCTCTAGACCTAACTTCCTCTCTGGGAGAGGCTACCTTCAATGGCTCAAAACTTATTTCTTCTCAAAGGGAGACTTCTCATGTGATACCCAGATGCTAACCACTATACTTCTGATCAGAGTCTACTTTTATGATGCCAAGGTGCTCTACCCCTCCCCATTTCCTGTTTTAATAAGACAGAAAAAACATATTCAGTGACAGCTATGTCACAACCTGCCCAATCATTTCCCTGTGAAAGTGTATAATTATCCTTATTTTCAGACACTGACCTTCACCTAGGTTAATTGGACAAGGTCATACAACCAGTCATTGTAGATCCAGCATTTCAACTGAAGTCTTCTTGTCTTCAAAGCTGGTACACTTTCGACTACAATTTGCTGGCTTGTCTCCATTTCACTTCTCTGCAGAGGAAGGATTTCCACATTGCCTTTAAAATGCAATTTAATTGTAAATACATTCTTGCAAAGCTCATTCTATCTCCCTCATTTTCTCTTTTCCTTGCTCACTCTCCTAACAGCAAATCATTAGGAGGGTACATTCTGTTTCTAAGTCTGCTTTGCCTAGCACAAAAGGTCTGCTTCCAAAATTCCAGTGGAGGTGCCCTGGAGAGTTGCAATGGTGTCCTTAACCGCCCCTCACCCGCAACTCTTGCCCTAGTTGGGTCTGTAAAATTCGACAGCTTTGAGCAACATATCAGCCCAATGGTTCAAAGTCCTACTCGTCTCAGCTAGGTTGCAGCATGCTGACCCTCACCATCATGGGAAATGTAAATAAAGACGAACTGCAGTTTTCATCAAATAAACAGCTGGATTCTGTTGGAGTGTGGTGAGCAAGGCAGGGCATTGCTCCATGTAAACCCTTATCAGAGGCCAGCAAACACTTCCTCCCAGTGTGGCTGGTTTTAAATGTTCCGTGGCAGGTAGAATGACGATAATTCGGTCAGGCTCTCTGGGTCTCATTCTAACGCCCTTCAACAAAAGCTCTCTTTTGGCAAATGTCAGTCTTGCTAGTGGGGGACTTTCAAGAGGGTAAGTTTCACCCAATCTGTGGTGATTGCAAGAGCATGGATTTTGCTCTAGACCTTGGACCAAATCCCAGATCCCCTATTCATAAGGTAGATGGCCTTGGGCAAGTTATATCACCTCCCTGAGTCACAGATTCCCACCTTCCTCTACAGCCTCACTGTAGCCACTGCCTCCTTTATTCTTCCTCTTTAACCAACCATACCACCTCTAATATATCACCACAGGACCTTAGCGTCTATTGTCTACTGTACCTAGAACACTCTCAGAACATTATAGCTCAAAGGCACTATTTTTGTTTACCTGTTTTATTTGATAGATGAGAAAACTGAGGTACAGGGAAGGGAGGTGGCTTTCCCAAGCTCATCACTGAATCACCAGGCTCACTGTTAAGAGACCATGGAGGGGAAGACAGATGGCAACACAAAGACAGAAAGCCCCACTGTAGAAGTGTTTTCTGTCTGTGATCACCAGAAGGCTGGGCACCCCTGGAAATAGGGAGGAGGATTTATTCCTGTATAGTCCCCTATAGGGGAAGTATTGCTTTGCTCATCTTACGTATGCAGAAAGTAAGGCTCAGAGAGGTTGAGTTGCATTTCCATTGTACACAGCTGGTGACTGACTGAACTGGGATTTAATCCCAGACCTTCTGCCTTCAAAGTCATACTATGCAGTCTAAAGGGATGCATGTGTGCTGAAAAAGCACCAGCATGTTTTGCTTTCAAACGTTGACAAGTTTATTCCTCTCTCAAAGATCAGATCAAGTTTACCACCTCCTGAAACACTTCCTTGACCCTCGTCCTGAACAGACCCTCCCCTCTGTCTTTTGCATGTTATCTCATATGTAGCACAGACAAGCTCTCTTGACTCTGTGTTATTGCTATTACCATTTTTTTACCTGGATGTCTCTGCCATTTGATCACTGCTTGTTGAGGACTGAGACCCTGAATTAACTGCTGCATCTGTTCACCACACATGATAAAGTTATACATATGACTGGTAATAAGTGGGTATAAATGGTATCATGTGTCCAACTGGACCCATAATAGGTACTCAGCAAATACTTGCTAAGTGTGTCATAAAGCTAGTGGTGGTTTTCTCCAGGAATGGCTTTTTATTCTTGATGCATGTTAATTTTTTTAATGAAAGGATACCCAGGATTAATATGAAGACATCTTAGCTCATTAGGCAAGAAAAATTGTAAGAAATCGTGCCCACTACACTAAAAAAGGAAAATATGTTCACACTGAGGATGGGAACAAGACCATTAACACTACAGAGAGAGGCTCCTTCACGTTCTCCTCTAGAGAGAGAACATTATGTGCTGCTAAGTCTTGCACAACATCAATTTCTCAGAAACAATTTTTCTTTTTGACACGTACTTTTGCTTTTGTCACCCAGGCTGGAGTGCAATGGCACAACCTTGGCTCACTGCAACCTCCACCTCCCAGGTTCAAGTGATTTTCCTGCCTCAGCCCCCCAAGTAGCTGGGATTTCAGGCATGCACCAACCCACCCAGCTAGTTTGTATATTTTTAGTAGAGACAGGGTTTCACCATGTTGGTCAGGTTGGTGCTGAACTCTTGACCTCCAGTGATCTGCCCTCCTTGGCCTCCCAAAGTACTGGGATTACAGGCGTGAGGTAATTTTTTATTCAATGAAAGGCATGGTTTATTCGTCTTGGCATCCCAAACATCTCCCTTGCTCTCACTTTCACCCCCACTGTCTATTACAAAAACATTGATTTGAGCCCAGTAGAATTGAGAGTTTCAGGAGAGGAGCTGATGGATGCGGTGGTAAGAGATGTGAGGTCCTAAAAGTCCCCCTGTGAATTTGTGTAGCAGTTGCATCCAGCTGCATCTCTCCTGGCCTTATGTCCTTCGAGCCATTTTCTCCTGCTAATCCTTTCCTAGAAGAATCCTTTGGCCATAAGAATCCTATTAGTCACAGAAATGTCTATTCCAATAGAACGGTGACAGGTGCTGAACAACAAAAAAACAAAACAAAACTGAGAAACAAGAAAAGAACCCCCTCCCAAGCAATGTACCAAATACCTAGCCAAATTCTCACATCCATACTGCACGATCCTATTCGTTCAATTTTACAGAAATGTAGGCAGTATCCTCAAAGACACAGAGAAGATAGAGCAGAGAATAGACTCAGGTTGGTCTGACCCACTACTAATGGCTTATAATCACCCAGCCAGTGGATTGTATCACTGACTTAACCATTCCTCCTCATGTTAAACATTTAAATTACATTCTCCTTTTTACCATTATAAATACACCAACACAGAGTTCTTAATACAAAACACTTTGGCTGCATTGATGATCGCTGTCTTGGAGGTAGAACTATTGAATTAAGAAGCATGGATCTTTTTAAGGCTGTTGATATACATTGCCAAATTGCTTTACAAAAGGACTCCTGCTACCTCCTGCAGTGAGTGCATGACACTATCAATTTTACCACAGCCCCATCAGTCTGGGTAGTCTCATTTTTTGGAAATGTTACACATTTGCCAGCTGAAAATAGTATTGCCATTTTAATTTGCATTTCTTTGATTACTGGTAAGGTTGAACATGTTCCCATATGTTTTTAAAGCCATTTTGATTCCTCCTTGTGATTTTTGTTTTCCTATCTAATTTAGCTTTCAGGATCTTAGTGATTTTTGTAATGATTTTTTAGGCTCTTTATGTAAAAAATATCATGTCTTGGTTTGTCATCTTAGAGCAGGGTCCCATTTTGCCTCCTTTTTAACATTTTTAAAGTTGAAAACATTTTTAAAAATACAATCGACTACATCAATCTTTTGTGATTTTTATCCACCCAAAGTCCTCTCTGTTTCAGCAACTTGATACATATTCAATTTTATTTTGTCCTGGTGATTATTTTTATTGACAATTTTAAGTCTTGACTCTATCTAGAAGGCATAGGTTTTCTTTTCTTCAATGTTGAATCTTATGTAAGAATCAACCTGAATATTTGCCAAATTTGTCCCCGCAGTGGGTACTAAACAATCCCTGCCTTCCCCACCACTTGTTATCATATATCAAGATCTTATTCCTGAGAGTGACTGTTTTTCATCCTTCCCGTCTTTATGTGCAAGGGTCTCTGCAGATGTCCTTTTTTCTCTCTGTTCCACTCTACTACCTACTCAGATCCTCCCCCAGCAGGGTCTCCAGAGCTATCCTTGGACTTCCAGCTTGAGTTTTTCATCTTAAAAGTTGTGTTTTTATTGTTCTTTTTTCTTCATTTGCAATGCCAGTCTATATTCTGGGGAGCCTTAGCCTACCTGAGCAATTGCAACTGGGAAACACAGCAACAGCCAGGACCTGTGTGAAGGCTGCTCCTGTGCCTGAAACAACAATGCCCTTACCAAAGCTGCCTCCCTCCAGCCTAGACAAGCCTCTGGTGGGAAGGAGCAGCCTGCAACGATACCAGAGAAGCACTCCAGGCTCTGAGAGCCACTGAGACTTCTTCTTAGTCCTGGAGTGGGGAAAGCATTTCTTCCCACATAAGAAAACTAATAAACAATCAAATAAATAATATACAGAAAATAATAATAAAGAAATAATAATGTATGCCTATTTAGAAATATAGCACAGAACTAACTTTCTGAAAGAAACAGCTAACCATTAAAAGCCCTTGCCTTGGGAATGCGCCCAAGAGAGGAGATGTGGGGACATTGGCAGAGAAGACTTCTGCTTGTCTTTATAAAGCTGATTTATGCTTTTAACTATGTGCATGCAATTGCTTTGATATTTTAAAACATATTTTAAGAATCATCCACTGAACATAAAAATGCAAAAACAAGATATGCATCCACTTTATATCTGATGTCTGACGAGCAAAATTGAATCTTTGTTTTTTAATCTTATATCTTAATAACAGAAATTCTCACTGTCCAACCCTGCAAATGAAGACTAATTTGAGTTTAGGAAACTGATTTCAGTGTAAATTGACACCCAGAACACTCAGGACATTGGCACATTATTCTTTTAAAAACAAAATCCTCCAGAGGTGCTTTTTTTTTTTTTTTTTTAGTTATTTTTGCCTCTTTTCCTTGTAAGAGATGGTTTCTGTCTCCTATACAAAACTCTTCACTCTTAGAAAGAAGGAACCGTGTCTCATTGGTTTCATTATTCTTGGCATATATCACATGGTTTGATGATCATATGCACTGCACTCGATGAATATTTGTTGAATGAATGAGAGGAGAGGATGGGAGAGGAGAGGAGCGGAGAGGAGGGGAAGGAAGAGGAGAGGAAAGGAAAGAAGGGGAGGGAAGAAGAGGGGAGGGGGAGAGGAAGGAAGGGAAGGAAAGGGAAAGGGAGGAGAGAAAAGGAAAGAGGAAGGAAGAGGAGAGGAGGGGAGGGGAGGGGAAGGATGAGAAGGGAATGGAAGGGAGAGGAAGAGAAGGGGAGGGAAGAGGAGGAAAGGGGAGAAAAGAGGAGAGAAGAGGAGGGGAGGGAAGGAAGGGGAGGGAATGGAAAGGGTGGGGAGGGGAAGAGAAAAGAGGTTAAGAGGAGGAGGAGGGAGGGGTGGGAGGAGAGGAGAACAGAGGGAAGGGAGGAGAAGGAAAAAGAGGGGATCAGAGGGACAGGAAGGAGAGAGAAGGGAAGGGAAGAGGAAGGAAAAAGGAGGGGGGAAAAGAGGGGAAGGGAAGAGAAGATGAGAAAGGGAGAAGCAAGGGAGGGAAGGAAAGAGGCTGGGGAAAGAGGGAAGACTGGAAAGAGAGAAGAGAAAGGAGAGGGAGTTATCATTATTTATTGGTTTCTCTTTTTGGGAAGACAAAGATTTCGTTATCTCATATTGGGGTGAATTTTTTCCCCAAGATGAGGGTTCTGTCCTCACTGCTGTTTTTTTTTCACTCTACTTTTATTATTACTCCTAAAGCAGAGCTCACTATTAACTTAAACTTAAGGTATTAGAAAGAAGATCTTGTAAAAATGCAACTCAAGCCTCGAAGCAAGACAGACATTCTATTTATAATAACGAAGACTAAGAGAACTACTAGCATGAAGTTACTCTTCCGAGCACAGAATGTTTAACTGTGTACCGGATGCTTCGTCCTGAGGTCAGACAACCAAAAGAAACTCCGCTTCTGGTTTCCTGCACTCTCGAGATTTAAAACAGGCCGGGCATGGTGGCTCAAGCCTGTAACTCATCACTTCGGGAGGCTGAGGCGGGTGGATCACTGAAGGTCAAGAGTTTGAGACCAGCCTGGCCAACATGGTAAAACCCCATCTCTACTAAAAACACAGAAATTAGCCGGATGTGGTGGCAGACACCTGTATCCCAGCCACTTGGGAGGCGGAGGCACAAAAAACACTTGAACCTGGGAGGTGGATGTTGCAATGAGTCAAAATCATGCTACTGTACTCCAATCTGGGCAATAGAATGGAACTCAGTCTCAAGAAAAAAAAAAAAAGATTTAAAACAATCTCTCTCTACCCACCTTCTCTATTGAGCTGTAGAAGCGGACACAGGTGATGACAAATATACTGTGGCGGGGAAGGAGGTGCGAAGCCTGGAGCTGCATAAGTGCTCATATCAGTGTTTATATCACCTTGCAGATAAAATTCCGCTTTAATAAAGAAAGAAAAAATCTGACTCTCCTTTTTGAAAAAGAAACAGGTATATTCAGGACTTTTTTTTTCTATTTTACCTCTTTGGTTGCCTCAGAAGATTTTGAAAGACATTTCATTTTGAATCATTTATAGAATCACAAGAAGTTTCTAAAATAGTACAGACAGGTCTCATGTACCTATTATTCAGCCTCTCCCAAAGGTGGCATCTTACATAACTATGGCACACAACAAAACCCGGAAAACTGGTGTTTGCAGAATCCCACACAGACTTTATCTACAGTCATGGAGGCATTATATGTTCCTGACTCTAATCATCTGTTCTTGCATTGCTGTAAACAAATGCCAGAGACTGGATAATTTATAAGAAAATAAGCTTAATTGGCTCACAGTCTTGCAGGCTGTACAGGAAGCATGATGTTGGTCAACTGTTCAGCTTCTGGGGAGGCCTCAAGAAGCTTACAGTCATGGCCAAAGGTAAAGAGGAAGCAGGCATGTCTTACATGGCCAGAGCAAGAGAAAGTCAGGGAGAGGTGCTACACACCTTTTTTTTTTTTTTTTTTTTTTTTGAGATGGAGTCTCACTGTCGCCAGGCTAGAGTTCAATGGCGCGAACTTGGCTCACTGCAACCTCAGCCTCCCAGGTTCAAGTGATTCTCCAGCCTCAGCCTCCCCAGTAGCTGGGACTATAGGCCTGCACAACCACGCCCAGCTAATTTTTGTATTTTCAGAGACAGGGTTTCACTATGAAGGTTGGCCAGAATGGTTTTGATCTCTTGACCTTGTGATCCGCCCACCATGGCCTCCCAAAGTGCTGTGATTACAGGCATGAGCCACCATGCCCGGCCGCTACATACTTTTAAATCATCAGATCTCGTGAGAACTCACTCGGCATCACAAGAACAGCGCCGAGAGGATAGTGCTAAACCATTCATGAGAACTCCGCCCCATGATCCAGTCACCTTCCACCAGGCCCCACCTCCAACGTGGGACTACAACTGAACATGAGATTTGGGTCGGGACACAGACCCAAACCATATCACTGACAAGAGAGTTCTTGGGGGATATCCACAAACTGCATGACCATAGGCTCATTAAGTTAACGGTCCTTGCCAAATCCCCTCCCCAGGGGAAACAGAAGAGAAATGTCTTTGAGAAAGGATAATATAGTCGGGATGGTCTGAGTGAGGTGGAGTGAAGCCTCTGGAAATGGGGTTTAAGACAGGAGACAAATTATAAATCCATAGGAATGATTAGTTTTGTTGCAAAATCTTTAAGGCAAGTAAACAGAGGCTTCTTAGTGTCTAGTTTGAGATGGGGAATAAAAAAGAGATCCTCATGTCTATATTCCCTTGAAGTGGGAATACAAGGTGTAGGTGCCCTGGGGAGAGTGATTTAGAAGGAAGAGTAGATAGTTAATGTTCTCCCTGTAACTTTGGGCTGAATGAGCAAGAATTACCTTTATATCTCTCAACTTGGTGAGCACACTAAATGTCGTTCATCCCAAAAACCATACTTCATGCTGGGGTGTTCCATTACATGGGGGAGTAGCTAACATCTGTTTTCTTCCTTCCTTCCCTCTGCCCCTCCCTCCCTTTCTTCCTTCCCTCCCTTCCTCCCTCCCTCCTCCACTTTTCTTCCTTCCTTCCTTCCTTCCTCAATAACAATTTTTTTTTAGAACCTGCTCACTGGGTCAGAATATAGAAGTTCTCTATTGATCCTCCTATGGGCCAAGTTGAAACAGTAAATAGAGCAGAGTTTCTATCTTCAAGGATCTTCTAGGCTAGTGGGCAAAGCAGCAAGTCAACAAGCTTAGATAAGCCCTCTGATATAGACAGAGTGCAGTGAAAGCTAAAAAGCTACTAGTGTGATTGAGGAAGGAGGGAACTGAGAAATGAAACTAGAAGCTTATCAGAGAGCTGTGGAGACCAGGATATAGAATTTAGTGTTCAGGGTGTTGCATGAAAGCCAAGACATTCTAGCTGCATCGTACAGGTGCTCAAGCTGCCTCTCATCAGTTTCTGCCTGGTATCAATCCCATTCTTTTCAGACACTGAGCATATCTGGACTGGTTTTGTATGTTTTTTTTTTCACTGGAAGATTGACAACCTGTTGCTTTGCCAAATTGGGGGCGTTCAAGGATAGTGGAGATGTTGGTATTCTCTCACTTAGAACCTCAAAGAGAACTCTTGGCTCTTATCTCAATTTTCCAAGTCTGACTGATATAATTAACGTCTATGTTATCTATCTATTACTTTTGAAGCTGTTGTCATATTGTTGATGTAAAGGCTGTGCAGTGACACACTTGCAGACTACACCTGCCAGCAGACTCTTGCCTACTGACATCCTCAGCCACAGAACTTAAGCCAAGAGATGTTTTGACTCTTGGGGATATTCATATCCAATTCTGGCTACAGATGTGTTTGAGTCTCATTAATTCCTATCTCAGTTTTCTTTGTCACAGTTCTCTTGGGCTCATGAAACAATGGTCACCAGCCCCTATCCATTGCAGAAACGGGTTATGATGATGTACCCTCAGCACACGGCATTTGGTAGACATGTGCCACCATTAATCTACCAGCTTCCTCCTAGCTGGAGTTATAAAATTTTGAAAACAGTGGGTCTGGATGATAAGAAAGGATATAGTGAATGTAATCGCACCGCAAGGAACTGGATGCCCCAAAATTTTATTCCTAGTCAACTTCAGAATAAATCCGGGTATTCCATGAGCTTGGAAAGAGCTGTTGGGAGTGGCTGTGGAATTAGAAAGAACCTCAGTTTGAATTGGACCCTGACAGTTATCAGATGTGTGGCCTTGGTCAAGACACTGAATGTCAGTGTCTAGCATAAAATGTGAGTGCTGTCAACATCATCATCATCATCATCATCATCATCATCACCAAAATCACAACAACCATCATATACTGAGGCTGAGACATGAGAATGGTTTGAACTTCGGAGGCAGAG